AATTATAGGGCAACCTAATCAATGCATTAAACACTGTTCCCCTTCAGCCGATTTCAGCAACAGATGAACCCTTCAGCAAGCTGGTAGTGGATGTCGTTTTACACTCCCAAAGGACAGAAGGAAATAAATTATTTACTAAACAATATTTGCCATCTACCAGGTACTTGGAAAGCAGTCTCTACATAGATAACTGCTCATGTTGTCTTAAGGGTTTTTTGATGAAGTTCTTTTGTCATGTTAGTTTTTTCTCAAGCAGTTGGTGCAAAAAGACCATAGGGCCTAAACTTTACCTCAAAGTCTTTTAGAAATGTTTTTGAAGGGATTAAAAAGAAGAGCTCAGTGTTCAACTGTGTATCTACTCTCCATTCAAGGGGAAATAGAGCAAATTACATCAAACTCAAGACATGATGCAAGCTATGGTATAGTACAATACTAACAAATGCGGATGGAGAGGATCCCTTTCTTTGTATTGCTGGAGTGGGGGAAGCACTTCTGGAATCTCTGAAGCTATTGGCTTGGGTGGATGGTGTTGATGCTCCCCCTCTCGGAGCTTTTTTCTTCAGTTTCAGACGCTGTTTGGCTCTTATGAGGTGCGATGGTACCAGGAACGCCCCCAACCCCCCCCCCCCCCACCAAAAACCCACACCTGCCCATCAACCAGACTAGGATGAATGAGTGTGGGACCATAATGTGGACAATGATACTCTTGGAGGCTGGTGAGGATGTGCTGATACTGGAAGCCAATTCATGTGAAAATCTGTATGGCAAGGTTGGTTTGTAGCTGTAACATGTTGTGGGAGAAGTGCCCTGGGGTTAAATATAAAACCCCACCACACCAAGCTCAAGAAAAGCATTTGAGTATATAGTACACAGTAACCAGTCAAAGGGTTTGAAGTTTATGTCAAATAATTCAGAAGGAGACCAGTGTTTTACTGGAATTGTTAATGGGCTGCAAAAAACAATTTTCTGTATGAAATAGCAAAAAGCATTATTTAGGGCATAATTAACATGTGTGTTAATGATTTTGGGAATGATGCTTGGTTTTAATGAGAAAAAATGTTGGAGAGTTGGGCTACAGCACCTTGAACTTTAAAATAGTTTTGGTGATGTCAGTAATGGGAAATGTTGAAAACTCCATGAGGAAATTGTCAAGGAAGCCGAGTCTATTCAACAATTTTGGTTGTGGAAAAATCTGTATGAAAAAATTGGAGATGGGGGAAGAGGTGAAAAATTCTTCCAACACCAGTTTGTAGTGCTCAGTGAGAGTCATTGGGCATTCCCATGCGTCTGGTTCCATAATTAGATGGCGCTCCTGGGCATAAACACTGACTGCCACAGAGTACGTTTAACAACTAAGGTTTACAGGATTTGAATGATTGTTACTTATGCACTAAGAGATGCAAACATTTAAATAAACTAAAACATGGGCAGGAAGATGTGATTTCCATTGGCTGTGTTCCAGTACCATTTTCAAGGTGTGTAATGCAAATTGTGTTCATTGTGTGCTTAAAATTTGTCTGTATGAAATGGAACGTGGTGGTATTTGTGTAAACTGAGGTATCCAACCTAGGTCAAAGAGATGTCTGTGGTGTTTGTTGTTGCACTGTGAAGAGGTTTGTACAGAACAGTACTATATATGAACAACCTTCTAAGTTTAAAATGTAACATTTTCCACAGGAAAGAAAAATTTTTCATTTTGGGCTGGCTATCAGCATTTGTACAGTACTCAGGATCTCTTCATCATGTTCATGTGTATAGTGACTAAAATCAGACTCTTTAAATGGGGGGTTGGTTTCCTACAGCTTTTTAATTTGGGAGTTAAATATATAATAGCTCAGAGAATGTGGTTGCTGATGCTCCTCTCTAATGTTTCATGGTAGATGCTTGGTGCATACTTTGTACATATTGTTTGTAATGTTCTGACCTTGTTGTTTTTGCAGTGGTGAACTCTCGAGCGAGCCTGTGTACTCTATACAGCCATCTGACTGTGAAGGAGTCGGAGTTGGAAGCCAAAAGTGTGACGAGGGTCAGTTGTGTACGTAAATGTGAGTTGAGGCAGTGGTTGGACAACCATCAGGTAACATGAGACGTTCAGAAAGGTATGTGATGTGTGTCTGGTGTGCTCTTTTACAAAACGGCCTGTGACGATTTTGCCTTTTGTGGTCCCCTTGGACCCCTCCATGTTCTATGTCAGCTACCTCTTCTTAAGTTTAGAGGTTCTGTGTGTGGAGTGGGACCTCGGAAGATGGGTGAGTGCTGACAATTTGTTAAGGAGCAGTGGAGTGTTGTATGGAAGGTCTCACTGTTTTGGTTCGGCCCCAAGTGAGAGAACCCTTGACATGTTTTGCCCCCCCCGAAGTTCTGCCTAGGTGTACACCTTGACTGCTCTGGCTTTGGCTCTACTCTGGTTCCTGATCAGGGAAGATGGCCACCCTGGAGTACCAGTTGTTGCGGATTACCACAGCAGAGGCACAGAGCCTGTTGGTTGCAGGCTTTCACAGTGGACATGTGTGCAATTCTTGCATTGTAATGTGTATTGTTTTTAAAATCCACCTAAAATTGTAAATTGTTACACTTGAGTATATGGAGTATGTTAAATGCTTTTATAAATATTTCTGCAATCTGTTGTAAATAACAGTAAAGTGAGAGTAGTTATGGTGCTGGGAAATATGTAGCATTTCTAGTAGTCTTGTTTACCACCTTCAGACTTAAGCAATATACTTTTTACTAGCCGTATCCTGAGGGACACAGCTAGCTTTTGTGAGACTTCGTCTGGAGGTGGGGGTGTTATGGGGCTATAGGACCCAACATGTATTTATAAGTAACAGTTACTCTGGAATACCTAATTATATTGAATTGATGGGGACTCAGTTCTAAATGTCATAAGGGCTGATCAACCTTATGACTGAGAGACAGCTGGGTCAAGCCTTTTTTCTCAATATAATAGGTTATACTGTAGACACACACACACACAATTTAAACAAGTAGTTTATAAAGTTGTATTTCTTTTTGTAACAGTAAAATAAGGTATAGTAGAATTGTGGTAACTGGAGAATTGTGCTTGGCAACAGTCTTTTGTTTTGGTGGGAGGAGCTTAGCTAGGCTCCTCTCTCTCTCTCTCTCTCTCTCTGTGGATGATCTTCAACCTGGCAGGACCTCTGGGTCCTTCTTCTATCTTCTTTTGGGGCATTATGTGTGCTCCAGGGGTGAGTTTTTATAACTGAAGTTGTGGCCACCATACCCAGGGTGACTAAAGTGTGTCAAAACACTGGTTAGCCCAGAGTTATGTCAAGAAGAGAGAAGGACAAAAGTTGGTGGAATACACCATGTGGAGAACAGCTATGGAGTGTGTAGATATTTGTTTTGAAAATGTGAGGCTGTAATTGTATATTCTGTACATATCTATTGAGAATACAGTTATATTTTTATAGTAGTAGTTTACATAACCTGTGAAGAGGGCTGGTGAAAGGATATCAGAGACTCTCAGGATGATCAGCCATAATGTAAGTATTACCCCTAGACAGATAAGGCCATTAAGTAAAAAGCTACCCCACACTAGAACATGTAGTGAGAACCTTACTATCAAAGTAATAAGGGACAAACCAACATAACAGCGAGTATTTATAGTCAGGTTCAGAATGTTGAGGTCAGGTGGAGAATGCTGCATCTGATGATCTACCGAGTGGGGTTATAGAGTCTAAAATCTTGTGTAGCTTGGAAGGGAGATTGGATAAGTTTGTGAGCAGACCTTCTGCAGTGTTCTTCTATTCATATGTTCTTATGTGGCAAGTGGTTCAGCTATGTTATAGAAGTCATTATTCTGGTTGAAATTGTTGGTTATAGAGATAAGTGATGATTTCAGGATTTTAATGTGTACTTGCACACCAGCACAGTGTGCATGTTTATTTAGGTACAGATATACATAAGTATAATTACCAGAGTATATATATAAAATATGAAATAACTTTAAAAACACTTGAAATTTTGGAAAGTTTCCAGACATAATGGAGAGACACAGTGCTCACGGAGCTCACAGAAAATGTAAATAAACTGGGTGGGGCGTGGTAACCATATTAGAAAGTCAGGTGGGGGGAGCTGTATAGCGTGTTTTGGTCATAATTTGAAATGTCTATATTAGCAGAACGCCGTAAGGCGAGGCCCTGCTGTATATCTTGCATACATTTACTTCAGATTATAAAGAAAAATCTTAAGTGCTACAGGAAAGTGTTACCAAAACTGATCATCAAGTAATAAAAACATTTTTAAGGACCACAATGGAAATAAGTCACTGTGTCTGACTTTTTTTGGGATATTCTGGTGGGTAATCTATACATATGCTGCTATGTAAGATAATTTATGTAACTGTGTTTGTGTACCTGTACCTGAATAAACTTACTGAAGGTGCAGAGTAAATTTTAGTACAGTTGTCCCTCAATTCACAGATGCTTACATTCCTAGAAGTCTCATTAACCTATAAACTATAATAAAATTAATTCTACCTAACAAATTTTGAATCAGATTTGGGTTCAGTGTGTGTTTCAGAGACTGCAGATCTTCAATACGGAGGCAGACCCCACTTATAAAGCAGGTTAGGTTCCAGGCTACTGCTATAAAGTGAAACAAGGCCTTTTTACACTTTCAAATGCATATAAAAGCCTGATAACATGTTTACACTATTGTGTATTAAGCGAGCTCTAGAGCTGGGCATAAAAAGTGCATATACATTACACACGCTAATATTATCGTCCTTAGCTTATAGTGGTGAATATATTAATTGTAGGAAGTCCGAATAAAAGAAGGATGGGTATAATTGAAAACTGATGTATTAGTAAAATGCTGTAAAATAAAGCACTGTAATCCGGGGCTTGCCTATAATTCAAAGCAGGCATTCACAACACAAAATGGATAGGAGGCCTGGTCACAGACTGGGCCATGGGGGCGTTGACCCCCGGAACTCTCTCCAGGTAAACTCCAGGATAGTAGAAGAAGGCTGACTAAAAAGAAGTGGAAGGAGTGTTGTAAGAGGAGGTATTTAAAGAGGTTATTATTGGTAGTAGTAACTTGTTAGGACCCATAAAAAGAAAAACTTTTGTAACCTTGACATGCACAACATCAACCAGTTTAACAGAACTCACATGTCTTAATGGAAATGTCTCTAATGTTGTTCTCTTGGGATCATGGTAGACAAAAGCACCTTGAACTGAGTGATATGGTCCAGAGTAAACAATGCCCGAATCTGTACTCTCTCCATAAGACTCTTTGGCACTGCTGGTAGTTGGAAGGTTGCATATGGGCAGATGTCCTCCATGTAATCTGTTAACCCAAAACCATCACACAAACTGTTAATTAATGTTAGTGGACAATAAATTAATTTAGACATTAACGTTCAGTGACCAACAGGTCCAGCATTTCAGTCACAAATTTCTACACTATCAAACTACAGGTCTCCCTCAACATTCGCGAGGGTTAGGGGATCAAGAGCCTCGTGAATGTTGAAAAATCGCGAATGTTTGGTGCCCCAATATATTGTAGGGACATATAATACAATACTTCTTCCTTAACTTGTTGAACCATGAACAATCATAAAATACATGAAAACATCGTAAATTGTACTAAATACATGTTATGGTTTAATAACAGGTATGTTATTAAATATCACCGCCTCCACCACTGCGAGTCTCTACTACCCTCCCTCCGACCCCCCCCAACTGGCATCCAGCCCTCCTACCAGTGTGGTGAGTGTTTTGTTTGTTCATTATTTACTATTAAGCTACAGTATAAATAATGTAAACCCATTCATGACTGCATATTGGAATGACTATTCGGACAGGTATTGGAAGGTGACATCATGTGTTTACTCTTGAACACAGCAAAGAATCAAACATTTCTGCTACTGCTAATAATAACAATAGTAGTAGTAGTAATAATACTAATAATAATAATAATAAATTATTATAATAATAAATACGATAGAATTGAAGAAGGAAATTGTACAAAAATACGAAGGAGTGGTTGGCACATCGTCAGTGTGGCTTTGTTTATGCTGGAGTGAGCATTAGTCTCCGTGCTCTTCTAAACATTTCACAATAATTCATTGTTGGTGCTTGTAGATTGAGTGCAACTGGAGTGGTAGAGGCAGTGGTTGGGGAAGCGGTTGAGGCATTGGGTGAGGCAGTGGTTGAGGCAGTGGTTTTAGACAGTGCATGAGGCAGTGGGTGAGGCAGTGGGTGAGGCAGTGGGTGAAACAATGGTTGAGGCAGTGGTTGAGGCAGTGGTTGAGGTAGTGGGTGAGGCAGTGGTATTATAAATGTATAATATAATATATATTACTATAACATGTATTATTATTATTATTATTATTAATAACATGTATGTTATTAAATACCACTGCCTTGACCACTGCCTCACCCACTGCCTCAACCACTGCCTCGCCCAATGCCTCAACTGCTTCCCCAACCACTGCCTCTACCACTCCAGTCGCACTCAATCTACAAGCACCAAACACAATGAATTATTGTGAAATGTTTGGAAGAGCACGGAGACTAATGCTCTCTCCAGCATAAACAAAGCCACACTGACGATGTGTCAACCACTCCCTCGTATTTTTGTACAATTTCTTTCTTCAATTCTGTCGTATTTATTATTATAATTATTATTATTATTATTATTATTATTACTACTATTGTTATTATTAGCAGTAGTAGAAATGTTTGATTCTTTGCTGTGTTCAAGAGTCAACACATGATGTCACCGTCCAATACCTGTCCGAATAGTCATTACAATATGCAATCATGAATGGGTTTACATTATTTATACTGTAGTTTAATAGCAAATAATGAACAAACAAAACACTCACCACACTGGTGGGAGGGCTGGCTGCCAGTTGGGGGGGTTGGAGGGAGGGTAGTAGGGACTCGCAGGTGGCGGGAAACTTAAATATTATTTGGCGGCTGGGAATTTGGAGGCTGGGAATTTGGCGTTTGGTAATTCGCGAATGTGTGAAGCCCGCAAAAGTTGAAAACATGAATGTTGAGGGAGACCTGTACTCTCTTATGTAACACTGGTATAAAGTATTTACACAACAATATAAAATAGGTAAAACTACATTGTTGTATATGGAAAACACTAAATAAATACACCACTCTACAAGAATCTTCAGGCTGTACTGACAGTTCAACCCACCTTGACTGTAACTGATATAGTTATAGCAACAAACTTTGAAGAACACTTGTGAACATTATAATACACTGCTTTAACTTACTCTACATCACTACTGAAGTAGTTACTCTTGGTGAACATTATAATACACTGCTTTAACTTACTCTACATCGCTACTAATGTAGTTACTCTTGGTGCAATGTTTCCCTTAATACATCTCCTCAAATGTACACAAGTCATTTTTTCCACAACCTACTTTGATATTTTCAACTCCTCTTTTGCTGCCCTGACGTGTTTACTCTCTCTTCCTCCCACACATTTCCACTTTATTGCAGAAAACATCTGTTTCTTTTTCTTAACCCTCTCAGTGTCAATCCTGTAGTACTATGGCTTGAGAGCCAGTGTAGTTCCCATAGTACTACACCAAAATTCTAGTCCCTTCAACTCTAGCAGGAGAAAGCTGGTAGGCCTACATGTGAGAGAATGGGTCGCATGGTCAGTGTGCACAGTATGAAAAATTGGGGCACCCGCATTGCACTGTGGGAATGCCATATTATACGCCTCATTACCATGCCTCGTGGTAAGAACTCCTCACCCCTCGGCAAAACTGGGACTCTTTTGTTCCCAAGTGATAGTTCAAACACAACGGAAGTTTTCAGTGAAGGTGAATTTCTGGTTTCTGAGGAGTTAGTGACCGAAAGTAAAATGCTCAGGATACCAGTAATAGTGCTGAAAACCCAGAAACCCTCAAGCTTCCACCTCTGGTGCTGGGCCATTTTGTTCACGTTCAGTTGCACCAGAACAAATGAGGAAACTCATATTTTCCCATGTCCAGGACTCAGTGTGAGCAGTGGCGATGATAGTGAATAGTGATTATGATATCCAAGCTACTGGATACAGTTTTCCAATAGCGGAGTGAAGGGGAAATATTCTCCAGTGAAGCATCAGTATATAAGCCTAAATGCATTCTGGTAGTGTGTCATTGCTATTCCAAGGGAAAGGAGTACTTTCTCGGAGTACATCCCATGGCCGTACAGCAGGAACAGATAGTGAAAATGACAATGATATTGTTAAAATTGGGATGGTTTAATGTGCATGCATCATCAGATGGTAGGGGGTTTGTCATGCGCCATGAGGCACCGAAGTGGCCCTTGCTGGTAGCCACGCTACTGACTCAGCAGAGCTACAACAAAGCCCTCCCTCGGCTGCCCACCCTCACCCATGCACCCACCAAACCAACCTGCAAAACCACAACCTCCACAAAACAATCACCTGTCAATATCCGTACCCACCAGCAGACTGCATCTGGGACTGGCAATTTTGTTCTAAATCCTCATCCCTTTTTTATTTTATTTATTTATTTATTAAAAATTTTGAGCACACTTTACAGAGGTACAAAAAAATACAGATAAGAGCAGCATGCCAAAGCCACTTTTTACTATGCATAGCATTAGGGCTGGCTTAAAATTAACTTAAGATTAACTAACAATGATGAAATCAGTGATAAAACTTTAAAAGTAAACAGATTACTATAAAGCACAAGTGAGTATTACAAAGACAGGTCACATGGTTGCATGCATTGTTGTACATTCAGTCGTATGGAGTATTCTGTTAGGTAGTGTGTTTAAAAAATAATAAAGTTAGATTGGGTTTTAGGTTTAACATTTATGTGATATAATTGTGAGAAACATTTAAGATATACAATTTATAAGGTTCAGTTATTCAGTATTTATTTGGTTTTGGGTGAGTAAGTGATCTTTGAGAAGAGATTTAAAATTTTTATAAACAGGTAGTGTTTCTTTTATTTTTACAGGTAATGAATTCCAGTTTAAATTTAGGGCCTTTTATGTGCATTGAGTTTTTAAATTTAGTGTGAGATGGACACGAGGAACTTTCAAAGAGTGATCTATGCCTTGTGTTATGGTCATTGTTCTGTTGAGGTTGGCAAGGAAAATGTTTAGGGGAGGGTTAATATCAGAGTTAAGTGTTCAATGTATGTAATAGGTGCAATAATAAGTATGGATGTTTTTTTATGGTGAGTAGGTTTAGTGTATTGAATATTGGTGGAGTGTGCTGCCTGTAGTGAGAATTTGTTATCATTCTAACTGCAGCCTTTGTTGGGAAAATTAGTGGTCTGAGATGGTTAATTGTTGTTGAGCCCCATGCACAAATTCCATAGGTGAGATAGGGGTAAATAAGAGAGTGATATAGGGCCAGGAGGGCTGACTGGGGAGCATAGTACCATATCTTCGATAGTATGCCTACAGTCTTGGAAATTTTCTTAGAAATTTGTTGTTATATGTGTATGAAATTTGAGTCTATTATCAAGGTGGATTCCTAAGATTTTCCCTCTTTTTAGCTTTGTGATAGGTGATCCGTTTATCATATGTTAAGAGGGACATCTGTAGCTCTGTTACCAAACTGAATGAAGTAGGTTTGTCAATGTTTGTGTAAGTTTTTTAAATCCTCATCCAGGTAGATATTTTCTGTAATTCGGTATTTACAGTATTGGCTAGCGTGACTGGGCTCGGGGTGGGAGAAGACGTATTAGTTTTCATCTGCAATAGTGTGGTTTGAGTAATTGCAAGCATTTGGAGGTCATTTATGTATAGGAGAAAGAGAAGAGGGCCAAGGACACTTCCCTGTGGGACACCAACGTAATTGGTTGTGCAGAAGAGTTTGCCCCATTTGCATACACATATTGGCTTCTGTTTGCTGGGGTACTTGAGGTAGTTGAGGGAGTGCCCTCTTATCCCAAATAGTGTGATAATTTTACGTGGAGAAAGTCATGGTCAACTGTATCAAAAGCTTTACGTAAGTCAATTGAAGATCCCCGTGGACTTCTTTTTTCTCTATTGCAGTTTTATATGTTCTAGCATGTGTATAATAGCTCATTAGTATTTTTATTAGGCCTGAATCCAAATTGGCAGGGGTTGAGTATGTTTTGGGAGATAAGGTAGGAGTAGATTCGTTTATGATTATTTTTCGAAGATTTTTGAGAGAGGGTGTAAGTTGGATATTGGCCTATAGTTATTCAACTCTGTTTTGGTCTCCTCCTTTGGATTGGGGTGCCCCTTGTTTTTTTTGGGAGTACTGTAGGGAAGGTGGAGGATTCAATGGTTTTGTTAAAGAGTGTTGCAATGATTGGTGATAGC